GCCCATCTATCAAAAAGCAAAATAATAAAATTTTAAGTTTTAAAAGTATTTAGGCCTCCTTGTACCATTGCAGTATTCATTTTTATTTTTCTTACATTTTGAAAAAAGCCACAAACACATAAATGTATTTGCATGACAGTAATAGTCCATAAAGATGAATTGTTAGTATGACAGGAAGTTTCCAAAGATTTTTGTTGCAGCATTTTACTGGTTTTTGTAATTTCCAGACAATATTACTAACCAAACAATTACACTTATTATATTTGCCCATCACAAGAGTTTCCAGTAACTTCAAAATGTCAAGGTAAATTCAATATGGGCAGAGTTTCTGTATATTGTGGCAGAAACCATCCTGATTAGAACGCAGATCAAGAAGCCTTTTCGTTTGTTACTTATATTTGAAGGATTACGACGGTACAGATTTAAAGAAAGGCTGTTTATCGCCACCTATCGGTGTTCAGTTGATAGCAGCCCTTTTCGTTGTAATTTCCCGAATCAAACGAAGATAACTGATACATGGAATAATCAGTGGTTATCGTTCATACACATCAAATTAGCAATCTCTAATCAAATTTATCAAATCAATGCTGCTTCACGTTGCATGAAATTTAGTACCAACTAATAAAACGTATAACTGTATAAACGTTGTGTTTACATAAGAAATAATTAATTATTACATTTCCAATTCAGCTTGGATTTTTTTTTTTTCATTTTTTTTTAAATGGCACATAATTACAGCTCCTTTCAGGTCCAATGTCCTTGATGCGAGTACAAGAAATATCCTGCAGCAACGTGGGTTCACCTTTCAAATTCTAGCTTTGGAGTAAAAACAGGAAGAGGTCTCACTGTCCATACAGCCATGGGCCAACATGAGCCCCAGTGACTCTCTTACGTGGTTCAGAGACCAAAATTCTCACTCCAGATGCCAGCAAAATCTATCCTGAAGAGAGTCCAGATGGAATAGAAAGCGACAGAATTCGTTTCTAAATTGAATCCTATGTTACTAGGAAAAGAATAGATTGTTTCTCAGTAGTCCTACTAACCAAGTCAACAAAAGCTGTAAGGAGGGCATCGTTTAAAAAGAGACCCAGCAGATTTCACTGCAGCATTACCCATGCACTGCCTAGGAATTGTTCAGGGAAGCTATTTGGGTTGGAGGAGTTTGGGATTCAAATCTTATTTTTATAATAATTAAAATGTTTCTCATCTGATCATGCTTACATCACAGTTATTTTTGATCGAAAACAACGATGTCTAAATACCTCCTGAATGTTACCTACTGCCTAAAAGAGAAATACAGGATAATGGTAATTGGCAGCTTTCTGGAGGTCTGGAACAAGGTTTTTAAGGTGAATATTCTAAGCACGGACATCTTAAATATCACACAGACCATGCCGCCACACAGGACCAGTCAATCCTATACACTATCAGAAAAAAATACCAATTTGTATTATTAAGATTCTGCCAGTTGTTCTTTAGCTGTAGGTGAATGTATCTTTTAGTCCAATTTAAGGTATAGATATTGACTCCGAGGAACATTTTGTACCAATGGGGTACAACCAAATTTTCATTTTCTTTTACAGAATATTCATTCAATTAATTTCCTAGATTAATGTTTCTAGAGGAAAAATACATTCACTTTAATTACATTGAGATTAAAGTTATACAAAACCCAAATAAAATTAATGCAAAAACATACAGAACTATAATTCTTTTCAGTAATATAAAATAGCAGTTGAAAATAAATTAAAATATTGGGATTTTGAAGCTGCAAGTCTTCCAGACATGTCTAAATTTTAATCCAATTGAACTTAATAAATTTAATATAGACACCCTTAGGATTAAGTTACACTATATGTTGAATAGCAGACAGTCTTTGTACTTAAACTGTCAGTTGCAGTTTTTTTCTTTTGTACAAAAAAGTCCAAGTCATGAAACAGATGACTATATTTAGGAATGCAACAGTAATTACGAAATAAATTAAATCTACACCCTAAAAACAAGATCAAACATAATACGGCTGGGCCTGGATTGTATAGACTGGAAGTTGCCTCTATTCAGTACTTCCCACATATCTGAGAGAAAAGAAATTCTTCAAATCAAATTTCAATTTTAAAGCAAATTGCAAATATTTATACATGCACACACATACACACACACATACAGAATCTTCAAATTCATATTCAGTTGCTGACAATTTAAATTGTGCTACCAGTTCATTCAAGGTTGTTCAGCAGCATAATCTAGAGGTCAAGACCAAAATTAATAAACATGGATTCAACATGTTTTACACATGCCATCTCCTGCAGATTTATCAGTTCTGGTGATATACCATAATTTATTACCAACTTTTGGTCTTCATGTCTATCTACTCTTTCTTCCTCACTATTGTGTTTTGGACGCATGATTTGGTGTAATCAGTGTTTTCAGTTACTAGTTTAGTTTATTAAGAAATATTTGCTGCAGTAATTATCTTGAGCATTAAAATATTGTACTCTTTTAAAAACATCCACCAAAGCCTACAGGAAGCTGCTAACTATTCATCTCTGACAATGGTCCAATACTATATCCCTCTGCTTTCAAAGTTAACATAAATACCATTTCACTGTTAAGTTTGGGCAAGTTTGCTCTCCATAACACACATGTTGGTAATGATCTACTTCATCCATCATATGACTCAGCACCCTTTAATAAAAGCCAACACACCCTACACAGCGGCCAACCTTTCATGCTACCTATTCTTTGGCACATTCATTCATTCATTCATTCATTCAGTCTGTTTGCTGGCTTGCTTGATGTTTGACACAATTATATGCCGGTTTAAAAATGACACATAATAAATAATACGGGAGTGTTTTTCAATAATTGTTGGACTGTATTTCTTCTAAATATAATAGATTAGTAGGTAAATATTTTTTAATACTTTGATTTGATGGTTGAGTGCTTCCCATGTGCTTGGGAGCCAGAGTGGGTGGAGCAGAATCTGCAGGGCAAATTTGAATGATATCAAGATCCGCTCAATTATCAGAATATTTGGTTTCCTTTTGAAGGGATTCAGATACACAGTAATGATCTCTTTATATTGTCTGTACTAGAAGCTGTAGTTTTACTGTACACTGTTACGTATACTGACATGAGCTGGGTAACAGTTTCATGTTCCCTCCTCTAAGTGTTTGAGCGCAAGCTTAAAGCAATTTTCAGTTCTCTTTTGGCTACATAGGTGTCAATAGGACAATGGACTTGATCTCTGAGATTAGAATAGGAACCAATAACACATGAAGCAGGAGTTGGAAAAAAAGGCGCAAATAGATATCTGGAGAACCATAGCTGAAACAAATTCAGAGCTGAAGGACCAGTATAGGATTCAATCAAAGACAAAGAAGCTCCCACAGAGAGTCTTGTCTTTATAAAAGTTTCATTTTACAACCCTGTGAATCTGTTATGCAACTGAAGGTGAAAGTCGGTGATGTGGTTTAATAATATCCATTAGACATATATCACATTATGGTTTACAGTTGCTTTATTCTCATTTTATTTGTTTAGCAGACACTTTTATTCAAAGCGACAAATACTTGAGAAAGCAGGGTCAGCCAGTCCTTGGAGCCATTGTCTTTGGGGCCTTTCTCAAGGGCCCAATGATGAAATCACCATGGCAACCACAAGATGTCAGCCAGCAACTATCTGGTCGCAAGTCCAGTGTCCTAACCTGCAGATAATTTATCGAAAGTGACACTCAGCAAGGAAAATACACCATAAGCAGCCAACTATCTAGTGCAGCTAAGCTGTACTTTCAATGAGGGGTCAGTCCAAGTTAGCAGTGGAGCAAGAGCTTCCAACTCAACAGCAGACCTTTTTGGATCAGACTAGGTTTCGGATCAGATTAGGTTTCTAGTGAACGAGTGCAAAATACAAGATCATCAGGTATCGTCAAGAGACCATAACCATGGGACGGCTGACAATGGCACAGGTTGGTGACCAGAAGAACTATTTGAGGTGGTCCCAGAAAAGATGTGGTATGTGGCTTTTCTCAAAGGCAATGTTGTGATAAGTGATAAAGTTGGCTTGAGCTGTAGAAGGTTCAGCTGGTGGTGGTGATCCAGATTGCAATACCAGTGAAGCATGCAGAAATCTGAACCAAAACTGGATGATCATACATAGAGAATTAATACAGCAAGAAGAGCAGGGGTCCAAGGACAGAACCGTGGGACACACCAGATGTTTCCAGATGTGACTTGGGCACCTTATGGATCCCAAGACGGAATTATCTAATATCAGATCATTTCAGAGAAGTCCCCCAAATGCCTAGGTGAGAAAGGAGGATCTGTTGCTTCACTATGTCACAGGACACATTTAAGTGTAGCGGAATGACCACACATGACCAAAATGCAGCTTTTGCAGATTGCAGTCATGATTGAGCATGGCACACTCAATGGTTTTAGACAGAAATGAGTGGAGAGAGACTGGGCTGCAGTAATAGACCTTCCTGAAAGTGAAAAGTACGTAAATTTCCATCCGTTTTCTATACCTGCTCATCCTTTGCAGGGTCATGGTGGTGGGGAGAATGTCCCGGAAGCAATGCACACAATGATGACAGCAGGGAGAACATGCAAACATCACATTTACTATTTTATTGTCCAAATAAATATGAAAATAAGCCAGACCGTAAAAATTGCCTCCTACACTTAATTGGACCATTTCTAGAAGACAGACAAGTCTGTCACAAAGTTTAGTATTATATGTCAATTAGTAATAAAGTATTTTATTGAATTCTAGGAATATAGATCACATAGATCACCAGGAAATGTTTATAGGGGAATCGACTATCTGTTAACACCCCTAAATACAGAATGCTTGTCGGGAAGTAGGCCATTGGTATTAATTAAAAAACGCTGACACCTCTTGCTGATGTACTCCACAAACAATATCCACCCATCGAGATAATATCAGGCCTTTCCAGATCTGTCACTTAGATTTTTTTTCATTTACCAAACAAGCTGTATTTTAAAAGGTCCGTGACGTAAAAGACTTTGAAGTGGAAATATATACCATGATATCATTCTATATCTGACACTAAAAGTTTTGGACGCACGCCATGGCACTCGAATTGCTTTTTTAAGCTTCATCGCGATTTCTTATAAATTGACAGTACATTAAAGGGCATTAGTAAGAACAACAGGTATATGGTAGGCAGGGTCGATAAAAACAGGAAATCAGACTTCCGAATAAAATTTCCGACGTTCAAGGACTCGTACCATGAATACGGAGTTTCTAGTGTGGAGACACACTGCGTGTTTTTCTCTTTTTCTTTTAGTTTTCGTCGGATGTACGATGCAAGTTTTGTCCGGAAATGTTGGATCCCTTGGCAAAATTAACCCCAGAGGAAATCACTGGGCAGTAGGTAAGACTCCACTTTCGCGTTGTGTGTTTTATGAATTAATAAATTAGTATTGAAATAGTACATTTCAATAAATAGCAATCATTCCAGAATAATTAAAGATAATTTGTATACTGTATCAGGAGCTGGTGTTATTACCAATTATACATCCAAAGCTGACAGGAACCTGAAAGAAATCATTCTACAACGCACTTAAAAATCACAGTTTCTACTGAGTTGTTAATTTTGGAACATCAGTAGTTAATCTTCAAGACAACATTGTTAATCGGAGTAGTCTAAATGTGAGCTTTGTAATGGAACTGTGATATAGGCTATTCAGATCCATCTATTCGAAATGGACGTTTTAATCATTGCTTTTCTTTATGTCAGTAAGTTTTTTCGTCAGTTAATTTAAATAAAACTACTAAAAGCTGTCATTGCAGATAATTAACAAGACCTGTTTTACCTACTTTACTACGTCTACAATACTAAGCATGCAAACTAGTAATTATAAAATCGTTTCTTTAAATTAATAGATCAAGTTAAATCAAATTATATTAAGTTCAATTTAACGTGAAATTTGAAAACATGAGACAATATACCACCATATTTTAGGCTCATTCTATTATGCAAATCAGTGTTTATCATTGCAGATTTATCATGAATCAATGACTGTGTGTAACAATTCATTGATATCTTGTGGGTATCTTTTTAAATGAATGATTATAGCAAAAATCGTCGTGAAATAGCACTGCTTTGCGTATTGCTTTTTTCGTATCTTCTTTTTAGTGTGTGTTTAAGAGAAATCGTTGTTATAAAGATTTATATTCGTACAGGACAATTAGCGAGCAGTATGTATGACAATTTTTATACTGGTTTCATAAAAGTATTGAAAATGAAAAATGATTTAAGCTGTTCATAAGACATTTGCTCAGGCTCTTTAATTGCATTATTATATTCACTAAAGGGTATCATTCTAATAGCCAAGTAACTCTGACTAAGATGTAATTGCGATAATTGAAAGGCAGGGGCACTTAAAACCCTTTTTACCGTGATTGCTGAACTTCCCTCTTTTTAATCAACGTTTTCAACATCACACTAGTAGGGAAAATTGTGATCCAAACACTTACATGATTCACTATTAATTAATTGCAAATTTCTGTCAAATTTAGGACTAATCATTTGCAATATGTCTCATTCAATTAAATTTGTCCTCAAACATTTGAAAGCATGATTTTTAAGCCTATGAAAAGACAGTGATTAATAAAGTTACCCAGGACTGTGAACAAACGTAGAGGCTAAAATATGAAACTTTGTTTCATAAATACTAGCCTAGACACGTGGTAATGTCACCGTGGAGGTAACATGCCTTTGCAGACAGCATGGATGGAGGTGAAGGACACTTTATACATTTTTCCACACCTGATACTGGCAAATTATCTTTCTCTAGATCAGTGTTACTCAAAGTGTGGTCCGCGGACCACTAGTGGTCCGTGAGCGACCTCAAGTGGTCCGTGAAGTGATATCATCTCTAAAAAAAAATACCTAACCTAACATTGTCTGAAGGGTAAAGCGAATTTATTCTCGGAACAAAAATGTATACATTTTATTTAAAAAAATGTATAAAAATAAATGTAGGCTAAAAATAAATCTGAATTGGCAGTGCCTAAATTGTTGCCTATCAACCCCGCCAATTTCGTCTCCTAAACAACATCCGCTGTCAGGTCAGTAGGCTAAGTGAAAAGAAGCAAAAAGCAGTAAAAGCATTGAACTTTAACTAAAAAAAATACACAGATAGTATGAAACAAGGATGGATAGATGGCTGAAGACGGGATCAGTTAAAAGAAAGGCAAATGATAAAGATACCGACGTGCATAGAAAGGAGTCGGGAGCTAGCGAGGAGTCCCACTCACAACACTGCTCGCAACTTTAAATAAAATTTAAAAAGAAAAAAAAAACATTCCAAACCATTGGTTAACCATTGTTAGATGTTTTGTACAATAAAAGGTTCAAAACATTTATGCTTTTTTTTTTTTTTTTGGCGTGGGACGGGGGTGGTTGGATGTGGTCCCTGATTTATTTTTTTTTGAGAAAGTGGTCCTTGGTCTGAAAAAGTTTGAGTAACACTGCTCTAGATTATAGCAGTCCTCCCTGAATCTACAATAAGCTCCCTGTTCCCTAAAAATACAAACAAATGTCTAGTCAAGGTAAGAGTACAGCAAGAATGACAATACCAGTTAGTAGGCTTTAGTTTGCAGTCCCAAGATGGATGCCCCTTCACAACAGATTTCCAGAAGTGCTGAAACCTTTCTGATACACAATGTGCACCTCTGCATCTAGAATCCCAAGTGCCTGATTCTTAGTTACAGAATGTATTAAAGGATTTTATTGTCCAACAGTAGTTGCAAGGTTTCGATTCAGATGCCAAGGATGTCACGGATTGTCATAGAATTCCAATATACCATAGATGCCTAAATTGCTATTATCTTGTATTGTTTGTTTGTTGGGAAATTAACTGTAACATTCTGTGTTCATTAAATAAATAGAATTGCTGGTTTTGAAGAGAAGCTATATAAGATTATGTAACATTTTAGATACATTGCTATAATTCAAATTAATTTTCTTTTTTTTTTTTAAAACATTAACTTTCACAATAGTGGTTCATAGGATGCTTTGCATATTACTTTACTTTTGTGCCATTGTGACTGTTCACAGGACATCTGATGGGGAAAAAAAGCACAGATGACAGATTTGGCTCAGAGGACAGTGGAGTGCCTAATAATCAATACCTGCAGTCTGCAGAAAATGATAAGAGGCTGAAAGGAAACCTGCAACCACCGCAGCCTCTTACAGCTGTCTTCCGGGCTCTGCTGGCACTGGAGAGACCAAATGAGATTCCACCACATTGGGCGATGATTCTGGAAAAAAAGACTCAATGGGAGAATGAGCAGGATAGGAACCTGAAAGAGGTTAGTGCTTATTAATCAAGTTCAGGTTGGTAAGATTTCAGAATTCCAAAGACATTTAACCATTTGTAACTGTTCAACTAGCATTCCATGCACTAGGTTTTGCTTGAATATATGGATTGAATTTAGTATGCCACTTAATATGCAAACATACTTTATTATATGCCCAGAGGAAAAAAACAGACAGTAAGTCAAATTTACTATATTTATATAGCTCAAGTGTTTATACAGCCAAAGGAATAAGAGCAGAGTGTAGTGATATGGGGTCAGTCCTGGGATTTGGAGCAAAATGAAGTATTTTAAGTCATGCTTTTGCCAGTATACTCACAAATACTTATTTAATGGGAGTTTGCGCAAATAGAGTGGACATCAGTTTACAAGGGCATCCATGTTTGCAAAAAGATCCAGAGTGGACTCAGGAAATGCATCCAAGAAAAAATCAGGACATTTTTAATCACATGGACATGGACAAATTTGGCATACTTATTCATTATTTGGGTAATTTACATACTTTACTATTGCTATTATTTTTTTCCTCTAGGTGGCGCAAATCTTGTTGCAGACTTTGACCATGAAGGACAACAGCGCCCCTTGAGGACATCTATCTGATTAACATGTTTCAAACGTTTTTGAAGCATTTCTCTCGAAATAATACCATGTTATATATGATGTTTGAGTAACAATTATTTTAAAAGCTTTAACAGATTTACATAATGCAAACCATTATCTCCTGAAAATTGTTTTCTGTGATTTGTAACTTGTGTTCCACTGTTATTTAAATGTTTCATACTACGATTATGTTGAACATACAATAAATCTAAAACTTTTGAAATGATTGTATGGCAAATACACTTTGGCTTTAGTATAATTTTTTTATGAGTATTTATACCTTAATTTAAAATCTTGCTAATAATATTGTATGTTAATAAATAATAATTTATAAATAGTGTTCTGATCTCCAGTTACTCTGTCTGTGTTTCATTATGACATATGAACATAGGGAACAAGGCAGATGTAACAGGAATGTAAAGTGCTGCCCAGGGTAGCAAGGTGCGTCGTGGTTAGAGAATAAGACCAGAGGTAAAACCTGACACTAACGCTACATTTACTAGCTGTATAAATGGTAAGGCTACACAGAATTTACTGAGCAAATTCTCATTGGTTAGGAATTTTATTTGGTCGTTCTAATTGCTGAAGATGGTGTGAGGTGAATGAGTCTTAACCACAGCTGTTTGTAGCCTAACACGTTTACCCATCACTCACACGAAATATTGGCTTGTGTTACTCATGCTTATGTGAAACAACACAACCTGTCAGTAACACAAACTGGGTTTAAAATAAATGAATGTTACATTTATATAGCACTTTTCAAGACACCCAAAGCAGTGGGGAGCCACTTCAACCCCCACCACTGTGCAGCCCCCACCTGGACTATGTGACAGCAGCCAATCTACACCAGTAGTCCAGTACGCTCACCACACAGTAGCTAAGGTGGTGAAGGGGCAGGAGAGAATTCAGCAGTTAGATATAGGGGATGATTGTGAAGCCTGATTTGAAAGGTCCACAATGGGGAATTTAGCCAGGACATCGGGGTACCACCCCTACTCTTTCAAAAGACACTCAGGGATCTTTTGTGACCTCAGAGAGACAGGACCTTGGTTTTATGTCTCATCTGAAGTACAGCACCATTTTTGCAGCACAGTATCCCCGTCACTGCACTCTGGCACTGGGATCCACACAGACCACAGGATGGGCAAACCTGTTGGCCGCACCGACACCTCTCCCAGCAGCAACCCAGCTTTCCTATTGGCCAGGTCCAAACCTGCTTAGCTTCAGGTGGATAATCTAGTCCGAACTGCAGGTGGTACGGCCGCTGACATAAAAACAGCGTCCTTCGCGTAGGCAAATTTGCACAAAAATTATGAAAGTAATAAAAAGAGCTACCAGCAGATGGCAGAATGACACAAATGAACCTCCACTTGTAAGAGAGTAAAAAAAACCATCAGTAATGAATATAGTCCATATATTCGGGTGGTTTGATTTTTTTAAATTCTATTTTGGTCCTCTTAATACAGAAAAATAAAATCCACTGTGCTTTAACAATAAGTTGCTTTAGTGTTTATTATAATTTATATTAATGTTTCAGTGCTTCTTGTTACCAAGCACATTAACTCGTTTAGCGCCGTTCGTACCGCGCGGCAGGTTGAACCGGTGCCAAACCTGTAATTAGTTCCCAGTAATTCTTCTGTATTTGAGGTGTCATTGTGTTGTATGCAATGTCACGTGTAGTGTTAGGTGTTAAGTATTGTAAATAGTGGTGTGCGTGGCAATGTCACGACCCAACATGGAAGCAGGCGACAGAAGTCGTGAATATAAACAAAAGGGCTTTATTGCTGGGATGACACACTCCAAGACACACGTAACGTTAATGACCGGACTGGGGAAACAAACGGAAACGCGGACTAAATAGAATGAACTAATGACAACAATCAGGAACAGCTGGTAAACTCGGGGAATCTGACACAGGGTTAACGAGGGGGCGTGGCACACGGGAGGAGCGGACGATCGAGTCATGACAGGCAATGTGGGTTCTAGACCATCTCAAATGGGGGGGGCAGACTGGGGCCAGTTGTTCTATTGGGGGGAGGAGCAGATGTATCTGACCTTACACCAGTTGATTGAAGCAAAAAACAATTCTGAAAACTGATAAGTAATTTGCGCAATGCTTTGTAGTTACATTTTACAGTTTTTACAAACAGGTAACTCACTCTGATTTCTTGTTCAAACTGTCTTGCTTCCCCAGGCTCGATTATTCTTTTCTGTCGTTACCTTCGCGCGATAAGGGTCCGTCATGAAAATGTGCTCAGCTTGTTCGCAGCGCGCGGCATTTGTGAATGCAAATAGTAGCATTACTAATAGTAATACATTTATTAAAGAACTGAAGTAGCACAAGTATTTAGGGGGTCCACGGTAGGGAGGCATGCATGTTGTCACGGGGGCACTTGAAGTGTTCATTTTAACTAAATGTCATTTAATGATTTCTACACCAGACCATGTAAAAACAACACTAACCACGCTAGTGATTTATAATCGAAATAGTCACCAGCAGGTGACGATCAGCACCAAGCAGGCCGAAATGTAAAATGTTTTTTTCATCGTCGGCCACACGGAGGCCACCAGGAGTTCCAAAGGGTTGCGGCTGAAAACGGCAAGCCGACTGTGGATGCTTCCCTCCACCTGTAAATAGACAGGATGGTAGACAACTGTCCTGAAGTGACTGCTGCCTCCTTACCTGCCACACTTAAATTTTCTTCTTGTCACACCTAAGGATGGTGTTTCCTCTACCTTACACGTCACTTCACTGTCAATACTCCAACTTCTCCACGGCTGTCTCTCAAAATGTGAAAGGGTGTATCGTCTTGTATCTTCATCAAATGAAGAAAAAAACAACAGAAATGATAATTCACTTCTAGAAACACTCTGGAAACTTGTACTGGGGACCACCATCGTCCAGACTCTCAAACGTGATGAGAAGACTGCAACCACAAGGAGGAAAATGCAACAGGAGAAGTATTTTTGGCAAAAAACCTTAGCATTGACTAACCCATTAATTTACAATTCTATAGAGCAGTGTTTCCAAACCTGGTCCTCGAGGACTCAGAGATGGTCCCTGTTTTTGCTCCTACGTTCCCTGCCAGACAGTCCACGTTTTTGCTCCCTCCCCGCTATCTGCCAGACAGTCCACGTTTTTGCTCCCTCCCCGCTATCTGCCAGACAGTCCACGTTTTTGCTTCCTCCCCGCTATCTGCCAGACAGTCCACGTTTTTGCTACCTCCCCGCTATCTGCCAGACAGTCCACATTTTTGCTCCCTCCCCGCTATTTGCTATACAGTCCACGTTTTTGCTACCTCCCCGCTATCTGCCAGACAGTCCACGTTTTTGCTCCCTCCTCGCTATCTGCCAGACAGTTCACATTTTTGTGAAACATGCACTGTCTGCAGGGCCCAAGGACTGGATTGGGAAACACTGCTATAGAGTCTTAATTGAATGCATCATCAACTCCTTACTTACACAACAGCAAACTACACCATGCCATCAAATCTACAGGAAAAATGATTAGCTGCATGTTCTCTTTCACTGAGAACCTGTAAAACTCCAGGATATAGAAATGTGTTGACAAGACCATCGATCCCTCCTGGCCAGGTAATCACCTGTTCTGTCACAGATTCATAAAAACTAGAAACAAGCAATGTTTGAACTCCATAGATCACCCCCCCCCCATTCACACCTCCAGGCCTCCTATTAATTCAAATATTCCATCTCTGGCTGTTCATCCTTATTGTCATTTATATTCAGGTATATTTTTATGCACTCTTTGCATACTCTTTTTAGGGACAGAGTGGCGGCTCTGAGGCTAGGGATCTGTACCAGCAACTGGAAGGGTGCAGGTTCAAATCTTATGAATGCCTAGAGTGATTCTACTCTTTTGGGCCCTTGAGCAAGGCCCTTAACCTGCAACTGCTTCATCCTGGGTATGACGTTAATCTACATCCAGCCCTTTAAGGAGGTCCACCAACTTAAAGGGAATAACTTGGGGGTTGGTAGCAGGATTGGCACTCCAGCCACTGGAAAAAAACTCACACTGGTTCATTTGGACTAGCGTGGTGCTGAGGTATCGCCTGCCCCATGGCTGCACTCAGGTTCTCATCCCTGAGGTGGTTTGTCATGTGGTAGGTGTGGCAAAGCACTGTAATCAGTGCACGATCCTCACCTCCTCTCTTTGCTCTGCAAATCTGTTAAATATGTTTACATGCTGCACTGATCTACTTATCTGTTTGGATATATTTTATGTTGTGTTTTCGTTACTTCTGTGCCACACAAAATGTACCAAGATTCCATATGCTAATCAAATAAAATTGATCATGATTCTTACTCTGATTTACAATTTATTTAAATATGTATAGGATATCTTATGGATATTTATGCAGTCTGTATACTTTACCTTGTCATTTTAATGGAAACTTACCAACCAAAAGGAATGGCAATGACAGAGAGAGAGACACTCATTATGAATAAGGGAGTTTGGAATACACTGGTGATGTCATGTCCTAGAATAGAGATTTCCTGCGTTCCCTGAGATACACACTACAGTTGAATGGTACAGTCTAATCCTCTTGATTGATAATGCACTGGTTGCCAAGCTCAGTCTATGCAAAGCTTACATCCTATTGAGTTTCCTAATTGAAAGCTGAAGTACATGTGCAGTTTTGTACTATGGTTAACACAATATGTTATTTGAGAATGTAATGATTCATCACAAACTAATACCAATACACTGTTGTATTAAGAGATGATGTACCAGATTTCATTTCAGTATTGCTAACTTACTAATTGTTAATGATTAATTAATCACATAACAGCAATCAAGACAAGCTCCGTTCACCTGGGCAACCATCCAGCTTAATAACCTCTAGCTCTAACGTATCTAATACATGTGTCCTTTGTGTTCATGTCCTGTAACACTAATGCAGGTTCTTAACATCTAATCCACTACAAATCTGCACTATTTCTTTGTTTGCACGATTATGTGCTATACTTGTGCTATACTTTTGGTTATATCCTATTCTAGATAAGCAATTGGAAGACTAATGGATTATTATTACATAAGGTTTACTTTATCAATAAAGCAGAAGCTTGTTATCTGTGTATCTGTGTAAGTAGGATGTTTTATGGCGTGTCATTGGTAAAATTAGTTGATTCTGAGTCTGAAGTACAGAAGTTAAGTAAAAACCTAAGATTTGGAGTCTTATATCTGACAAAGATTGTCAGTAAATCAGATACAGCCATGCGTAGATTGAGAAAACGGGTAAATGCCAAGAAAATGTTGTTTGTTAGAAAGTGAGGACAGTCATTTCAATAATGTTTTTAATGGCAACCTATTATTGTGTGTTTACAAAATAATTATACACAATGTTACCAAAACAGGTGATGTTAGTCTAAAAACTTGTGTGAAATTCTATTTTTGCATACAGGCGCATTAGTTATTCAAAGGACCCACAGCGTAATTAATTTAAGGTTGTTCACCTTATTCCACCTATGGGATGTAATATGAAAATAACACAGTGTCTGATAACACAATGGCTATATTGTGTACAGTAATACTGATACACGCCATTCCACTCAGACCTTTATGGAATTCTTATTTTTCCATCATTCCACCTTGTTTAAAATGAATGCTATTATGTACACCAAACAACAAAACTTGTGTGTGACAAAGCTCCAATTTAATATACATCATATACAGTATATAAATATTATTTCTCAGAACATTTTCTTTCTACAAAAGAACATTTTTTCCATACAAAATATTTCAGCCCACAAAAATAATCCATTAAGATCAAATTTAACAATGTTGAACAGTGTTTCCGAACTCGGTCCTCAGGGACCTCCAGACTATCCTCGCTCCTCGTGGACCTCCGGGCTGTTCTCGATCCTCGGGGAATTCCAGGCTGTCCTCGGTCCTCGTGGACCTCCGGGCTGTTCTCGATCCTCGGGGAATTCCAGGCTATCCTCGGTCCTCGTGGACCTCCGGGCTGTCCTCGGTCCTTGGGGACCAACAGACTGTCCTCGGTCCTCAGGGAACTCCAGACTGTCTGGGGACCCCAAAGACAGGGTTGGGAAACATTGATGTAGAGGTTCTGTTTACAGTCAGCTATCAGTAGTGGCCAGTCACAGCAGGATGCCTGCATGATGCTACCACGTCTTTCCTATTGACTGAATGTGCTCCTTTGCCTTCATCCTCAGTGAGGCAATGCTGGAATTGCGGGGATCTGGCTCCTCCATGGAAAACTTGTCCATAAATCCTGCACATTGGTAGGAGGGAGGCAGGCACACGGTACCTATATGTGATAAACTGTGTCCGACAGAAGAAGAATTTAAGAAAGGAGGTGGGGGGTAATTGTTGGGCAGCCCGTGGGGTGGCGTGATGAAGTTTGAAAGGGACTGCAGGGTGGTGGAGGTGGAGACGCCAGGGCTGAGCCAAGGTTCCAGCTGCAGGGCCGGAGAGCTAAGAGGCGGCTGCGGAGATCTGCTGAAGGTCAGCATGGGAGAGTCTGGAAAGCGCATGGAGCTAACGTCCAGCTTCTCCTGCCTTCTCCACTTGGCTCTTCGGTTCTGAAACCACACCTGCAATCACGGTTTCCTATTAAGTCTGTCACAACGCTCTTCACACATGTTGTAGCGCAATATATAAACATCTGTCAGCAAAACCCCTGAAATACAGTGGATGCCACTAATAAATAATGTTAAACAAGGCATATGTAAGCAGTTAGAGCATGAAGATATCCCGTATCAGTGTATTTCAATATACAAAGACAATTTTTTGGTAAACCGATATACTTGCATATGCTTTTACACATAATTTTCAGAATGTTGTTGATATTTTCAAAATGCGAAAGGAAAAAAAGTTCATGACTTGTAATGAACTACCATAGTTTGTCATTTTTATACAAAAATGTAAATAATGGCATCCATTAATTAATCATAGCATCCATCAATCAATTCACTCAATCATCCATTGATTCAGTGCAAGGTCAGTGGGTAAACCTCACAACTATATTGTCATTTAAACTTATCTGTAGTTATAATTGCTTACAAGGTAGTAACTCAGTTACTAAGTTACCATGTAGTATATATGTATATACATATGTATACATATATATATATATATATATATGTTATTATTGTGCACAATAATTCAAGTGATAATTACATTTACTGCACTTGTTTCAGCAAATTCATATTACAACTGCTGTATAATTTTAACTTGGACACTGTATGCTATTATAATACTGATATATAATATAAATATCAGAATAAGTATTTTATTCAATACAGTAAGTATGTCCTCATATAAAGTAAGAGTTTAAAAAATTATTATTATCTTACAGATTTTCAGCATTTACTGCTGTCATCTGTATCAATTTCCAGTCGCAATGATCTGGATAAGCAGATGTGCAAGGATGGATTTTCGTGGTAACTATCTTTGAGACCACATGGAAATAAACCAAAGTGGATATTTAATGGAACTCAACCAGTTACAAAAGTTTGAAATAGTTTCATCAAAATGGAAAAAAACAGTAGATTAATTTTAGTCCTAGCATATGAAAGACACCTAGTACTTTTGTGTAGTTTCCTTATTTATTCTGAATAACATATGGGCTAACAAAACTGTGCAGAGGGTTATTTTTGAACAGCAGATAACCCTGAGCTGCGGGCGCCTTTCAAATAATCAATACACGGCTACACTGAGATCAAATTCAAGCTTCAGATTCCCATTACAGAAAAAAACGAAATTTTCCGAAGTCTACTTTGTGTCATAAAATGAGTTTTTATTATCTATTAAAATGATATTAGAAAAAAAAACAATTCATGTTATCATTACTCAACTCCGTACTCATGAACAGACGTTAAAAACGATTTTTTTAATGCGCCATCCGATACTTAGTTGCTGTTGTTTGATAGATAATATTCTGTTATCAGGGGAGTTTCTAGCTATTGAAAAGATCAGGGCTTGACTAATTTAGTAAAGTTTACCTGGGGCTTCACTAGTTTGTTTTGAAGGAAGATTAGCATTGAGTTAAAATATTCGGATCTTGGCTTAAAATACGACGCCCATGTTCTGTACTGATGCTATTTTGTTACAGGGATCCATGATCCACATAAATCAGACAAGAGTATTAACACTGAAAATTCACGAAAACAGGTCTGGTGTTTGCTCTTACGTGTATTCCGTAGGTGCTACATGTGATAATGAGTTCAGAAGTAGCCCACACTATCTAAAAAATGCATTTTTTTCCTTATCCTTGACAGAGTTGCGGGGGCATGAAAACTATCCCAGGTATCAAAGAGAATCATCCCCATCTGATATAACATTATATCATGATATTAAATTCTTTCATTTACTTTTTTACTTTCTCTATACTTTCCTTAGAAATACAGACTAAGATACCAAAATAAAAAAATACGATTCAAATCTACTGCATAGTGGGAAGCGAAGCTTTTAAGAAACGCACCTGAACACGGACCTCCGGCAGGTTGACCTTGAGCGCAAGCTCCTCCCGGCTGTATATGTCGGGGTAGTGCGACTTCTCAAAGGCTCTCTCGAGTTCGTGAAGTTGAAAAGTAGTAAATGTGGTTCTGTTGCGTCTGTGTTTCTTCTTTGGGTTATCATCTCCGGAAAATTTGCATTCCCTTTCAGGTAAATCGGGACTTGCTCCAGAACTGCTTGCACAACACGCACCTGGAATATACACAATTAAACAACTTTAGAAAACACGGACAGGAAATATATTAAAGACTGTATATGCTATGCAATAAACGGTATGGTCATATTTCAACTAGTTGCTGAAACTGGATTATACCAAGCACGTTTTCCGCCATTGAAAGAAATGTTAGTCTTCTGAAATACGTTAAAATTCGAAATCAAATAAGATTCCACGTTATTCCCCGTCTTTAAGTGTAAAATGAATGACCCAGAGCAATGCTATTCCCTTTTATTTATTAATCTCTAAACTTACTTTGAAAGCCTTCGGACTCATGACCCTTAAGAGGGGGGGCCACCTTACATTTCCTCCTGCGCTCAGTGTCTTTCGTGAATCTTGCCGGGACATTTGATGAGATCGGCTGATGAAAAATGTTCTCATCCTTAAACCCCAGAATGGCTTCAATACTATGGATTCTAGATGCGTGTCCGGGGCTGCGAAGGAAACCTCCGGAAGGCGAAGGACGGTCTTCCATTCCTTCTGATGACGAATCGAGAAACCGCATTGACGTCTGTTGACTGGTATTTATTTCGACTTCTGATTATGCGCGTCTTTGACCTGAACCGTAGCAGAGACGTTATCTTGTGGGCTTTATAAAGGGACCCTTCGGAGGAGACCTCTTGTCCATGTGACGCCCCCTACTGGCACGTCAGACGCTCTCAGCCCTCAGAGCAGCGAGCTCTCCCACTGAGCTCTTTTTAAACTCCACCCTATAATTTCTTATAACTATGAGCAGAGTTAAATGAACATCCTTATATCAGTCTTAAATAATCTGTTCCTCATCCAGATGTCATGCTCTTGGACATTAAAAAAGCGCGGGGGGTTGGGGGCGGCTCGGGATTATAATTTCAGTACAAATTCACAGCTGCAAGATTTGTAGTACGGCAACAAAGTGTAAAATGACATACCGACATAATATTTGCCACTAAAATAATTTTACTAACAAAGCAACTGTCATATGTCACATTAGCAAAACAATATTAAACACAGTGTTATGGTATGCATTTTAACTATTTTCATTTAATATACCTACCGTGTTCAGTTGGTTTGCATGGGCTACATAAATATAAAATATAGCCCTACTCAGTAAACATAAGAATAACACTTTAAAGTCTCCAAATACAGAAAGGGAATTTTTTAAAAAGCCACATTCAATTAACACTCAATTTGAGATTTGATTAAACTAAATATCACGCATAGGCCTCTATGGAACAATTATGTTTCCCATTCCTGAATCATTCTGTAAGGGTAACAGGCTTTGCGGAAGTTTCCTTATACGAAAATAATTATTAAATTTAATTAAATTATTAATCATTATTATTATTATTATTACTTTTAAATAGGCTACCACACGCTGGTCACAATCAATCCGCAATCTCCCATTGATTAAAGAACATGTGTTGATATACAGGTTCAATCAGTTGTCTGAAAATGAACATTTTCCATTTTATTAATAATTAGCGTTGATGAAATGTTTCATACTTATGCATTATGTACAGTTTATGGAAATCGTTCGGACACCGTGTCATCGATTTAGCGTGATTTCATTGCGAACTCAAGTAGGACACCACAAATTTAACCCTGAAATTTATTTGCAATTAAGTGGAAGTATTTCCTGCCTTACTGAATACTTAATGGATATGTGCATTTTGCACTAAATAAAGATCGACAGCTGTTTGATAATCCTTTGCCCACACGCTGCTAAGGGGATTAGAGTCTTTTCTTAAAACAGTTAGTACCATTTAAAACTATTTAGCCTTTCCTAATTACTGAGAGTGATGTTATCCTCTGCTTATATTATACAGAGTAAGTACTCCTGGCGTAAGGACAGTGTTTTGTATAAAACAATGGGACTCAAAAGTCTATTTCTCTTGGGCTGCTAACATACAGTGCAGTGTTACGTTTACCATCCTTCCTTTAAAAACAAACAATGAGCTTTGTCTGTAATATTCCCCTCAAAACAGACAAAACTTAATTATCACAGAGTCATTCTTCTGCCTCAGAATCGTATTGATGAGTGTGACAATGTTAATAGTGAATTGCATCTTTTGTAGAAGTTGCAGCAAGACAGCTCTTGCTTTGCCAAGGTCAGCTCTGTGGTACAGCACCTTTTGTATACTCAATTGGCATGTTCCTCAACACATTCATTGGGAGCTTTGAGGTTACATGGTATTTCAAAAGGAAAATGGCAGCTCTAAAGCAGGAATTATAAATGTCGTATTTTTATCTTTAATATAAGTGCTGTGGTGTTATGATGAGTCAACTAAGGCCTACTTATTAATCTATCCATTCATTTTCTATAGCCACTTGTGCTACGCAGAGTTGCAGGGGTCTGCAGCCAATCCTAGAAGCTATGGGCTTTTATATATATATATATATATATACATACATATATATATATATATATATATATACATACATACATATATATACATACATATATATATATACATACATATATATATATACATATATACATACATATATATACACATATATATATATACACACATATATATACATATATATATACATATACAAATATAAATATATATATACATATACAAATATAAATATATATATATATATAAATATATATATAAATAAAAAAAACTATGTTTCCTAAATATGTGTGATTTTAATAGACGAGCCAGAGGGAGGAAGGACAGGTTTCCTGATTTACTTAAGACAAACTTTCACATTAACCTTTCGTTTAATATTACAGTGAGATGTTCTACCAGAGCCAGAAATGTACCAAAAAATAATCCACGGTAGTTTAAGACAGCAGAAATAATTAGTGTTTCATTTTTAACCCTAAAATATGACTGAGGTTCAGAATCAGGGCTGGGGAACCAGGTAAAAATGTAAAATTATTTGGTCAACCAGTGAGCACTGATGAGGTGAAAGCAGACTCAGGCAGTTTCTCCTAATAATCTGCAGCAGGACCTTCCCTGGCGACACCAACGTCAGTCACAATTTCTCCTACAGTGATGAAGAAAGACCCCCCTTCCTGCAACAATTCAGACAATACGTGCTGGCTCCCATTCAGCGTGTCTTCAAGCGCATGCTATAATGGTTTATTTTGACTGAACACTAAATCTCCTAAGTCTTCTGTTTCTCCAACGTCCAAATATCCCTACAATCTGTAGTTGTTTCAGCAAACGGGATATCAAAGCATGTGTTTGACGGGAGATTGCAAAGCAACATTTTTTTTCCCCCTGTAAACCCAGCTATGTTTTGTGACAGTCCTTCCACATGCACTGGAACCCTTAAAAAAAAAAAAAAAAAGGCAACCTCTCTTAGGTGAGGAATATGAGGAGATGAGAGCCTCGTGAAAGATGGATGCTCATGAAGGTCTTTCCTAAAGATGCCGGACAAAAATAACTAAGGAAAATGGACTCTTCACACAGGACAAAATACTGTAGAGGCAAAAAATGATCCTTATGACTTTTGTATGAACTGAACCAAAATAAGAAATTTGAGTAGGGTAGTACACAAATCAACAAATACTAATTCCAGAGATGTACCTTTGCATACAACAGTTTCATTTAACTGACGTGAGACATGAAAACACAGAAGACACTTCAGGAGTTTTCTTCATGTTTCACTAAAATAATTCCATTAAGTAATACCAATGGTAAGTCGAAAAACCTCAATAAATCAGACAACAGGAAACATTCTTAAGTTACAGTATGAAAATGCAGCTGGACGCTACAGTGAAAATGGGCGGAGGGGCAGTGATTATGTTACATAGGGAAAAAAAAAAACATCTCTAACTTGCCAAATGTAGAAGCAAAACTCTTGCAAAACTAATTTAATGGTAAGTGGAAAAACAAAATTACAATAATTAAAAAGTACTGCACTTTTTAATTTTTGCACTCAGACAAAAGGTTACAAACATAAAACTGGACAGAATTATGGGCAAAATAAAATAAAAAAACAAAGTAGAAACAAATTTGCAGTTGTGCAGTTTTGTTTTTTTCTTTGAGAAAAAAATATTTTATTCTGGAATTTAATTTTAACACTTGAACATACATTCAGGGCCTCTATTTTCGTTTTCCATTGCAAATTCAGAATTTGATATATTACTTTCAGAGCTTTACAAAACATAAAAAGACAGTGGTCAACAGTAATTTTAATACTTTTCAATAACCCCTACCAAGATGCAAATTGTATACGTGTAATACAGTACATTTATGTTTACAAATTTTTGATCATAATTTCCACACACACAATTAAAGCAAGCATTCATTCATGACCTGTACAATAATTTATAATTTGAAAGTAACCGGACAAATTAAGATGCTATAAATTCCCTCATTTACAGATCATTATTCTTTCCATTGTGAAAAGTTTCATCAAAAGAATTTTTTGGCAGCTGCTTCTTGTTGACTTCTAAAACAAAAAAGGAGGGAAATACTTTAAAATCATGCGTTCATTTTGCTAGTAATTTTATTTGAGTAAACACACAACTCTGATAACTTTATAAAATGAAACCATGATCCTGTGATTTGAAAAGTTCAGAATCTGAAAACCTGGCGATAGACAGACTCATTTTACTTAAAGTAAAAATAACCCTACTTGTCATATAACTGAGGGGGACAATAGAAGTTTAAACATGTGAGATTTCTGTAACATTGGGTCTATGCTACCCTCACCTGTAGACGATGTATCCGATGAAGAGGACTGACTGAATGGTCACAAAGACCAGGAAATGAATCGTTGACAGACAAGAGGGCAAAGGTGGTAGTTCAGGGCAGTTCACCTTTTCACTTGGGTTCTGAAAGGAAATAAATATAATGATCGACATTACCTTAACAGATGTTCTTCAGCTACCAGTAACAAATCAATAAAACAAACATTAATCTACCATGCAACAGCTTACAAAGTAAAAAGAAACTAAACCAAACATCTACAGGATGGGCAGACTACATTGTCACAACAAAAGTGTGTGGGGTCTAACCACATTGCGCTGGATCAGGTGGTCGATGTTTCTTTTGACCACGTGCAGGTGCTCCTTGATGTCATTAAAGTGCTGGACAGCCTCGTAGGTTCCAGCTGCATTCCCCTGGTGCTGGGCGGAGCCAATTTGTCTCACAGACTCATAAAATGAGCTCCTGAAATGAAATACTTTGTTAGTACAGCACAATGTTATCTAAAGAATCTAAGTGATCCCTGTACTTCTACACAAGTAATAGTTATTGATATAATCATATATAATCAACAAACTTAAAAAAAAAAAAAAAGTAGTATTATAATACTCAGAAATATATAAAGTGAAAGCTCACTGGTAATTTAGTGATACAGTACTGCCAACAATACAGGTTTCAGTAGTAGGGCTGGAACAACTAATCGATGACATTAATAATAATCGGCAATAAAAGTTGAAAACATATTCTGTTATTAATTGGGTGTATTGTGGTTAGCTACATAAATTGTGTATAATGACCTCACCATCTAGCAATGTTTGTATGCTTAGCCTAGTTCATACTTTACTTCTCCGTGTGCCGCACGGACACTGACATATTCTGCATACATACTGTAGTGATATTCCACCAGACAAGCATAAGGAAAA